GTTTGTGATCGCACTACAAAACGAACTTATTGTAAAAACTAGTTTCGGTTTACTTAACTTTCTCAGCTCACAATTACAACGAAACAGTTGAAAAATAAATAGCGTGACAAACACTGACAAGCGCGCGCACTTTAAATCGCTTTTAGTGTTCGTAGGCTGTTCTTTGTTGATTTTACTAGTTTACTGATTAAAATGAAGAGGTTATCGGACGATATTCGGTGGAAGGTTATTTACCATGAACTTATTTACGGTTCAAGCATTAAGGAAACTTGTAGAGCGTTATTTGTAGGGAAAACTTTTGTTTGTAAAATTCGACAACTTTATAAACGTACAGGAAATGTTGCTGTACATACACATGTAAGTGTCATTGTAAACTTGTATTCAATCAATCAGGGTTTTTACAGTAATACGAATAAGAATATATTTACTTCTTCGAAAGAAGGTTACATTTAAACATAAGCTACTTCGTTTTCAACCTTTAATTTAAACAACAATGTTGCAATTATTTTTTCGCTTGCTTGATAATTTTTTTATTGTAAACTTAAATTGTTTACATAACGAAAGAAAAGAAAAATGTGTATTTTAGTTCAACATAAGAATATCTTTTCAAGATGCAGAAAACAACACCCTCAAGTTCATGGTTCTTGCAAAGCTATACCTAATTGTGCAAAGTATTATTTGCATGCATTTGATGTTTACAAGTTAATAAAGCCAAATTTAAACTACAAATCAGATAGAAAATTATATTTTTTAATCAAGTTTAGTTGATATTCTTCTAATTGTTCTCAATTGCATTGARTGAAGTAGAATGTTCTGGGAAACACAAGGACCACAAGTATCTCCAACAAAGACCACCGCTTCTTCCTCCATAATTCTAAATGCGAAAGTCCAGCTACAGAAAGTCACGCATCACTAACTAAACACGTGTGCCTGGTTACCAAGCGGTCGAGTGAATGACGGTCGAGTGAAAGTTTAGCGCTCAAAAAAAAATTCGAGAGTTCGCACTCATTTGAAATTGGGTGTAACCTTAGTTATAAAAACAAGCGGAAGCGAGTCGAGCCACCTGTAGCAACGGAAAATTCACTAAAGTCCTAAAGACGAATCCAGCCAAGAGGTGGCTTACTCATCTGGATCTAAGTGTAAAGACAAAAACTTTCAGGAGGAGCAAATGTGGTGCCCTTGCTTCTTTCAAATAATTTTATTCCTAGCAAAGGTTTTCAAGATCAAAAATAGGCTTATGTAACGTTTTTATGGTCAAAAACGACTTTGATATAGAGAAGTCTATAATACTTGTGCTTGTTGTGTCTAATAAATCATCAATATTTTTTCAGCTTCTACATCTTCAATTTATGTGAAAACTACATCCTCAATTTTTGTGGCAAAATTGAAAAAATCCATAGTTGAAAAAAATTCATATCTTGGTCAATTTCAATCACACATACAACGAGTCTTTAATTTAGATTTCCATTAGTCAGGCGCGTAGCGTGGACTTGTTATGCACATGTCAGGGACCGCGACGAACGCCAAAGGCGGGACTATTAAGAGAGTCTGGNTATAAACCTATTATGTTTAATTTTCATGATCCGGTATATAAAGTAAGCTGAAGCGATTTCCTGTTTTTAAAACTAAAATGAAAACCATCACTGAAACACTTTTAAAAAAATTGAAAATAATTGATGATTAGATCACTTGAATACTGATCAGCAAGATTATGTTGATTATACTTCCAAACAGGTGATTAAACTGTGTTGGCGAATTGATTAAATTACGGATAACTGATATGTACACTAATCTCTGTTTACGAATATACATGCTGAACGTAACCGTGGAAGCGTAAATAGCTCGTAAAGTCAAACGTACACGTACACGTTCACATTTTCCGAAAACCACTTCCTCGTGGACGTAAAACGGTCAATCAATTGTAAGAAATAGGTTTATTAAAGTTGCCAAAAACTTTCTAAAGATTTCTAAGCAATTAACGTATAGATAAATGTGTCTTAATTTTTTCTAAGACGGCTACGGTTATTAATGTTTGGTCCTTTGTTTGATCTATTCATACATAAAACCAATGCAAACATCAATGAAGCTAACAATATGCAAGCCTTTTTCTCGTCTTTCCTTGTCTTCTATTAAGGTCAGGTTGCCGTTATTATTGTGTTAAGGCCATTTCGATTCAGACTTTGTAGTATAAACTTTCTTGACCCAATGCACTGCACGATAAGGCACTTTTACTTGAAGTCACGAAAGCTTAGATATACATATAGAAGAACTAGAAAAATGTCTTACCTTTTAGATCTATTACCTGTGACAATATATTTTTCAAGTCGAAGATGACCAATGATTAAATGCGGTTTTGCAAAGTATTCACTGGGTTATCAAGCGGGCAAACTCTCTACATATGAGCCCTCATGCGATATACCGCTGGCTCTCAAACTAATGTCGCAGCTGCTGTTTTTCTCTGGGAAAAGAGATACGTTTTCCCAAATATTTCGTTTCTCAGTTAAAAATCCAAAACCAAACTCTTTCTGTAGATAGATAATCGACTGTTCAATATTTCATGCCTTTTTTTAGCCGATCGGCCTTTTTCCAGTTCAATGTGAGCGACCGCTGTTTTAGTAGACAACAGACTCACTTGCGTAGAGAACAAAAGAAGGCACGAAAACATGTTGACATTGCAATAGCTCTAGAAATTTGAATTTTCTCCGATTCCAGGCTTAGCCTGAGCAAGAGTTTGACTCTTCTGGAAATACAGGCTTAGTCTGTGCTATTGTAATGAAAACATTTTTTCGTGCTTTCTTTTGTTTTTGGTAAGTTCTATGCGCATGAGAGACTGTTGTCCACTAAAGCATGGGTTGCTCGCTTTGAACTGGAAAAAGACATATTCTTTCTGAGGCATGGTTTTTTCAATGATCAAATCGATCGAGTCAGCTTCGAGTCCTATCGTAAATCTACTGCTCTGTCCTTCCAATGATCAGTGTTATATGTGGCTCAATTGGCTCATAAAAACACAATCATGTAAAAAGTAAGAGAGGTAACTTAGGGACAGTGATGCCAAGAGGGGGTTAAAGTAAAATTACCAAATTCATAGAGGGAAGACCTTAAGTTTTTTGCAAAATTTTCATTATTTTCTTTATCTTATATCAAATTCAACGTAGTCAAACACTGCCATTTACAGGCATAGATGCTAGATGTCAGGCTTCAGCATCGAAAAAGTAATATACAAATTAGGTAACACCTAATAGCGGAGCTCCAATAGCAATATAGAAGCTGAAAATGATTATCTAGTACTGCTATTTCAAAGGTAGATGCTCTGTTCTAAGCAATGTGAGCTACAACAGTTTTGTTGACATGCGAACAAATATTATAAAGAGTATGTTTATGAGAATTTAGTTCGTACTAATATTGACTTCGGTAGATTTTGTTCGGTAAGATGAAGTTCAATATTATAATCTATAAAGGTCAATTGATTAAAAGTAAACTGAAAGCTTCTCGGCAAAAAGTAGTCTACATAAGCTTCTCATACTCATTAATTATTCATGAGGTATCCAGCCAATCCCTGATTGTAATTTGTACCACTTGCAGTAACTAGATACCAGAGGAAGTACTCCTACCTTGTATTCTAGCTTATTTCCAGTTACTT